CCCAGCTTTAATGAACAAAACCACTCTTACAACATCACCCTTGCTCGTGTGCTTTGCATGTACGCCTGAGATAACATTTACCTTGGAGGACGCCGGCGATAAAACGCACGCCAAGTTTTATATGAACCCGCCGCGGTCTCTTATCTCCGCGGTGCTGGAACATGCCAACTCTTTCACCCCATTCCATTACCCCTTAGTTTACATTTCCCTCAGCCCTATTTGCTTCTGCAGCTATCAGACTCCTGCTCTGTGCCGCCGAGCTCATGTCCTGGGCTGAATCCCAAACATGGACCAGATTACATACAAGCGAGTATGCAGAGGAGAGAGTAAAAGGCCCACTTTCTGTCAGCTTTGATTGAGGATATGGACGAGAGCCAACATAATTAACCCAGTGCGGAGCGTCGGCAACGTACGCGCACTGCCGAGTTTGACGCCGTATATTCTGCCCATTTTCTTTGCTTTTGAATTCCAATGTTTTTTGTTTGTTTCGTGAAAGGGAAGTATGTTTATTCAGAGATAAGCCAAGGTTGCTGCTGCGTGCTTCTGCGTGTTCTGTGATTTCTAAGCCAGATGGGTGCTCGGTTTCCACTCAACACAGAATTTTCTATGTTTTTACTCTCTCCTCCTCTTTATCTTTTTATACATTCAATATTTCACTATTTCTGTTCGCTCTCCAGTTTACTGCATACATCTTTTGAATTATCTCCCAGTAGTTATACAAGTGTGCGTCACAGAAGCATTTGCACAAAATAGACCTGGTTATAATCAATTGCAGGCTGCAAGGTGGCTGAGTGGATAGCACTCTCAGCAAGAAGGTCGTGGGTTCGAATCCTGGTCGGAACAGAGTCTTTCTGAGTGAAGTTTGCATGTTCTCCCCGTGTCTGCGTGGGTTTTCTGCTGGTGCTCCGGTTTCCCCTACCACTAAAAACATGCTCACTCAGTTAAATCCTCCAGCTCTGGTCCGGACCAAGCCGAGCATCAACATCTGGAGATGGGTTCCCGGGCGCTGTTACTACGGCGACCACTGCTCCTGATGTAAGCCTTAGTGGCATCAGGATGGGTCAAATGCAGAGGATGAATTTCCGTACGGGGACAATAAAGTGCACATTTACATTATTCACATAGATCCTATAGTCATTGTCATTTTGGGGGTGGTGGTGCTCATACGCTTTTTGCTTTAGCCCACTCCTTACGGTGGCGACACGGTGGCTGAGTGGATAGCACTCTCGCCTCTCAGCAAGAAGGTCCTGGGTTCGAATCTCGGTTGGACCAGGGCCTTTCTGAGTGGAGTTTGCATGTTCTCCCCGTGCCTGCGTAGGTTTCCTCCGGGTGCTCCGGTTTCCCCTACCACTAAAAATATGTACAATAGGTCTGGCATGTGCCTCCTGTACTGGCGACCCCAGTCCCAAAAATAACAATTGTAAACCGCTTTGAGACTCCAATGTGCAGTGAAAAGGCGGTATATAAATAAAGATTACTAAAGATTACTAATTACTTACTTATGTGCAGTATTGATACTGTTCAAATTAAAAGATAAATACATAAAAAATGTATCTGTTATGTTATTTTATGTTATTAAAAATATATTTTTATATTTGGAGCTCATCGTTTTATAAAGTGCATTGTGTAGCTTTGTTGGATTGTTACGTGGAGATGATTTTGGTTTACCATGGATTTAGTTAATCTACACAAAGGGGAAAACAAAAGTTTTTCAAAGTTGAAATGAAATAATATGCTTCTGCAGTGTAGCAATTATCTTTTTTTGACGGGGACATTTTCATCTGCAATCTCTGACCTTTGTGGGTCATTATTATGGTATATGGTATATATTTGGTACTCTGAAATGTCAATATTTATCTAAAACAATTTTATTAAAGAGCTGAGTCTAAAAACTTCAACATTCTAAAGTTAAACATTAATTTGACACACTCTCCTTTAAATGGGCGAAATCAGCCCTCGTCTTAGCTTCTACGGTAGTGCATAAGACCTAGAGGGTCTCCCATAAATTGCCTCGCAGTCAGGGGTCTTAGTGGCTCTTTATCAAGGATCACTCTGCTAATTACCCCTGTGTTCCCTCTCGAAACAGACACCGCGGCTGTGTATTTACTGCCTGTCCCGGTCCACACGCAGCAGAGTGTTGGTGCTCTCTTAATTGGATGTTTGAACGCAGCCATTTATCCTCAGAAGGCCTTCTAATTAACGCTCCTCTACATTACATATTACTTGGGAAGCAAAGGCAGGGGTCTGAATTTGAGAAAGGCCGCCCATCGCTGAACCTAATTGACTATTATGATAGGGTTGAGAGGGTCTGCTTGACGGAGGAGCACCTGCAAAATGTCTTGAGGAAATGTCAGTATTGTGTTTATATGCGTGGCTGGGCTGCACTTGTGGTTTGCCAGTGTGATCATAAAGTTGCAAAAAAGTCTGGAAAAACTTTGCTCAAATTGTTATCATGCTGAATCAAATATATAAGTTTGTAATCTATGCTGCGGCTGCTTACTTTCCGTGAAAACTTCTTTAAAAAGTTGCAAGAAAACTAAAAGCAGCAAATAAAGTGAGCACTTGACCTCAAAGTCTCTGGAGACTAAAAAGGACTTTTATAGCCATATTAAATTGATTTCTGGTCGTGATTTGCAACTGGAATAAACTTGTTATGATACATACTTGGAATAAAAAAGTTGCTTAAAACGTTTAAACTTCTTACAGACAGTGATGCAATGCTTAAAATAAAATGTTAATATCCAGTCTCAGACCAAAATCGTCCGTGTTTCAACTAATAATTATATGTATTTGTTGGCATCTTTTTGCCAATATGGTTCTAATTGTGACAGAAGTTGTTGCGTAATTTGAAAGCTAAATTGCTCCATGGCTTTTACCCATTGTCTATATCCCCCCATTTCCCTTGCTTAGTTTACACTTGATTATACAATATTCAATAATGTTGTGTTTGTTTTTTCTGCACGTATACTGTGCATTACAAGGCTTAAGAGACAAAGCTAGTGACTTCCTAAGCTTGTGAATTCCTAAGTGTTGAAATCACTAAAATGCGGCTTCACCCATAAACACATTTTAATTGCATTCTATTGTCGTGGACTGGTCCTTAGTGAAATTATGTTAACGATATATTCAATTAACATAGATGCCTGAGCAGAGCCATACCTCCTCCTCTTCCTCTCCAGCTAACAACATGTCGCCTCCTTCTCCTCTCCTCGTTACCCAGAAGTCACATTTTGAAGCTTTCCCGAATCGCACACGTTGTCTAGGTGCGCTCGACTTCACCCTCACCCCAATGTCTCTCATCTGTCTCTCACCCTCAGACATGGTCACTGAGGGGGTCCCGGGTCGGCTGGGTGGATCACCTGAGACTTATAGGTTTCATCCATAGAGTTTAGCATATATGGACAGCTTGTGGCATTTTCTCCCTGTTCAAAAGTCCATCACCACAGATACCAAGTAGCACAAACGGCGCATTGATCACCCACGGCTGAGACCGCTGTTGTTGTGACTCACATTGTGACCCTGTCTAATTGGCCCGTCACAAAATGGCGGCCTGCTGCACAAACCACAGCGGGAATAAAACATACATTCATTCATTCATTCATTTGAGTCCAATCAGCCTTGGTGTTTCAGCGCGAGCTTCAGGCAATGTGGGGTTAAGTGTCTTGCCCAAGGACACAACGACAGCAGACATTAGTGGGAGCAGTTGGAGTAGGTCTTGAGGTGGGCTCGAACCCACGACCTTCCAGCCCAAAGGCCAAAAAAACCATACCAGGTTAAAATAGATCACTCCCCTCAGCATCTGCTCTGTCTGGTGCACACTTGGGTAATCTTGCACAGTTATTCCAATGTGGTTTTACTGCAAATGGCAAATATCTGAATCTTGAAACATGAATCTTGAGTTTCCACAGTTAGAACTAGGAGAATCACGTTGGAATGTAAACATGTCAGCCACCCCCCCCCCCCCCCCCCCCCCCGTCATCCTATTAACATATTTTAATCACATTCTATTGTTATGGTGTGGTCCATGCTATAGCAAATGTACTGATATGATTTCCATGGTAATAATCTAAACAAGGTCTGTGTATGTTGTAGGTGTTATAGAAAATATAGAGTCAAATTACAAACCAAATGTGTATTCATGTACTGTATGTATTCTACCCTTGTAAATTTGCCAACAGGATGTGATAAGAAGTTGTTGTTTTGTGCTTTATATATTTTATTTCTCTTGCTTTTCTCTGCCTGAGATGTTGCAGTACAGCGTTCATGGTTTTGCACTGGTCCAGACCAGAGCAGAGAGGATTCATGGTTTTGCACTGGTCCAGACCAGAGCAGAGAGGATTCATGGTTTTGCACTGGTCCAGACCAGAGCAGAGAGGATTCATGGTCCGAACCAAGTGGATCAGGTGAAAATCCACTGGAGGAACGCTAACATTTTGAAAAATGCTAATGAAGCATTTAGCATTTTACTTCGGACCAGAGCAGAGAAAATGGTTCAAACCAAGCGACTACTCCACCTTTTGACCCGTCCTGCTCCACCCAGAGGCTACTCCACCTCTGCTGCTGTGACCCGTCCTGCTCCACCCAGAGGCTACTCCACCTCTGCTGCTGTGACCCGTCCTGCTCCACCCAGAAGCTACTCCACCTCTGCTGCTGTGACCCGTTCTGCTCCATCCAGAGACTACTCCACCTCTGCTGCTGTGACCCGTTCTGCTCCATCCAGAGACTACTCCACCTCTGCTGCTGTGACCCGTCCTGCTCCACCCAGAAGCTGTTGCTGATCTATCTATCTCTCTGTCTATAAGAGAAGTTGTATTTGTCCCACAGTGGGGAAATTTCAATGTTGCAGCACACATACAGGACAGCAGTAAGAGCACACAAGGGGCACACAAAATACACAACTAAAGTAGCTTTCAATGTTTCTTAGCTATGTCCTTCTTAAATGATTATAGTTAAACCTTGAAATAATCATTAATCAGTTGTCTTTCTCTGTCTGCTTCCAGAGAGCCCAGAACACAACCGACACCCTGCAGGACCTGACTGGCAGAAACATGACTGATTTTCTCCTCAAAACATTTAAGGATCAGGGGAAAAACAGGTACTTTCACTTCCAACATTCCACCAAAAAAACACCCATTCATTTCTGTGCCACTTTCTTTCTCAAAAATGCTTCCAAAGAGGGTAGAAAGGAGCCGGGTAACTGTTGTGCATCCTCTTTGAGAAGGTCAGGCGCTCCTCATATGAATGAAAGGACACGATGGTGCACTGCGCGTTGCCATTCTCGTCGCCACGTGTTTCGCTCTTGTCACAGTCTGACAAATCCTGCTGGGCCACTCTTAGATACGCTTCCTTTAACCTGTCATTTTACGCCAGGAGCACACACAGCCGGCTGTCACCCAGAAAAATGATTAATTGTTAAGTGCTCGGATGGTGTATGTGTGGAAATCTGCACCAAAGTTGGAAGTGTTGTGACAAATATCTGTAAAAATAGTTTGAGATGACACATTGTGCTTTGGTCTACTGCATCATGTGAGACAAGTGGGGGCTTTTATATGGCTGTATTAGTCCAACTGTTGAGTGGGTATATGCACCTTAGCTTCACAGCAAGAAGCAATACAATCCTATCCACTTTAATTATATAGTACATGTTATAAATCAAGTTTCTAAAGTGCTGCACAGAGATAAAAGTAACACATTTAGATATACAAGCTTTTAATATGTATAAAAAAATAGAATGAGTACAACATTATGATGTAAGGAATGAACATATATAAAAACAATAGAATTACTGTTATCCAAAAAAACAAAATAATAATAATAATAATAAGGATGATGGTAAAAATCAGGAATGTCATGTGAAAATTTAAATATTTTTTCAGCCGCTTAAATTAATTATTGATAATGGGGAAGGCACTTATAATCTTTTTGTTTCTGCCTTCTCCTTTTGAGCTTTTTTATTTTTCTCTTTGTTGAATTATATGTGTTGAAAAAATATATATATATAAAACACATTGTAAAACTGCTCAAATAAAAATACTACTACTACTACAATAAAATGAATAAAACAGATAAAACAGAGGGCAAGAAGACTCGTGTGGCGTTAAGGCCTGATAGTAAAAAAGAGAAAAAACACCCAATGATGAAGAATCTAAGAAAAACTGCACAGAAAAACTGAAAAATAAGTATTCTGATAGCTCCATTCTGCTAAAAACTTTATTCATTCTCATTTGTGTATGCTCTAAATTATTAACCATTTTCCCCCTAAACCAAATGTTCTCCGGGACCGCAGTCTTGTACATATATACTGTATATTCTGTATACGCAGTAACCTCCAGCTCTGCTTTGTACACACACCTTTCCTTGAACCTGCTTGTGTCAAACCTGTGCAGATTTGGAGGCATCTCGGTCGGTGGAATCAACTCCCAAGTACTTCTGAGTGAAGCGGAGATCGAACTCGCCTTCGTGGAACTCAAAGACATTCTGGGTTCAGCACAGGTACGTAGGTGCACTGTGCTTTCACCCAAATACATGCACACGAAGGTATTGGATTGCTTTTAACAGAGGATTGTGTGGGAGAGGTGTAGGGATTGTACTTCAGCCTCCAAAAGATCAGCTGTGGTCGTGAGAGAAGTTTTTAAAAGCCGTATCAGAAGTATGTTTTGTGTTTGATTAAAAGGATGAATTATGGACAGACTACTAAATATGTTTTCAGTTTTATAGAGTTGCTGGGAACTTGTAACGGGAATACATACATACATACAGTACATGACTTGTCCTTTGGTGGTATTTCAATCTGGAGACACTACACAGACCCAACCTTTCATTAAATTAATTCATCGGCACTTTGTCTGTGACGATCATTTCTTGTGTGCAGCTTACGTGCAGTACCGGGACTTACCTGTAGGTACTGCTGTTTGCATTAGGTCCAGGTATTGGAGGTAGAATAAGAGTGAAATTGAGATGAGAGCGTGGCTAGAAGGTCAAGGAGGAGGCGGAGGTGGTGGTTGCGAGGCGTGAGTTGACAAAAGTGACTCTAGAACAAACTCCTTGCGAGGCTTGAACTGGCTTCATTGGCGTAGGTTGGCCGCGCTGTGTGATTGGCCGAGGGTGAAGGGTACCCTACCAGATGGAATCAACACAGGCTACATTACAGTTACCAGAAAAAAACTCCCATGGACCAGTGTTGCAAATTACCATGGTATTGCTATGACGCTATAGGCAGTGCATCTGGTCTGTCCAATGTTACAGTTGTGTTCATATCAAATAAAAAAAATAATTAAAAACTGATGGCTTTGGATGAGAAGTATATTTTCCTAATCAAGCTTTGTCATCTGTTTCATCTCTATCAAATCTATAACTTCATATTCACTGGCCGTTCACAATAAAAACTTGTTGTTTCATAAGTAGTAATTCAAATTCAAGTAGTAGTTATAATTAAACTGAAATTTAAATTGGATTGAAGTATTTGCATCTTTTTGAAGCTTGTATAAATATATGTATCATATTTTCATATTTTTGAAGCTTACCTGAAGGTGGAAAAGGAGCTGGACTCTTAAAGGTATAAAGGGGGATTTTCTCAAATTTTAGGAAAGGACCACCCAACTCAAAGGTGCACTTTATTAATCTTCGTAGGGCAATTCAATCCTCTGCATTTGACCCATCCTGATGCCGCAAAGGCTTACGTCAGGAGCAGTGGTCGCCGTAGTAACAGCTCCAGGAACCCATCTCCAGATGTTTGGTCAGGACCAGAGCTGGAGGATTTAACCTAGTGAGCATATTTTTAGTGGTAGGGGAAACCGGAGCACCCGGAGGAAACCTACACAGGCACGGGGAGAACATGCAAACTTCACTCAGAAAGACCCTGTTCGAACCCAGGATCTTCTTTCTGAGAGGCGAGAATGCTATCTTGCCTCTCAGGGAATGCCTACTATCTTGCATAACACCAGAATGATTGACAATTAGGAGGACCAATCGTCTAGACTCTAGACGATTGGTCCTCCTAATTGTCAATTGTCGTCTAGACTCTAGAGCAGGGGTGCTCAATACGTCGATCGCGATCTACCAGTCGATCGCAAAGGTAGTATTGGTAGATCGCATTAAATAAAAACTAAATTACACATTCTAAACGAATATATACAAAAAACTCCGGGCAAAGTGGAGATTTTTGAAAACTCTGTTAATGCATTTGTGTGTAGACAGAGATAACCAGAGTTTTGCGTTCTCGCACGCCACAGTACCCCCCTAAATTCCTCTGATCACTGAAGCATGGATCATACTACCTTAAAAATTGTCCGCTGTGAGATGCTCGCAGCAGCGAACATCCTCGCTCCACATCAGAGGGCAGCAAAGTGATCGCGGGGACTCACGCTCGAAAACAACCAAACCAGGACTAAACCAGGACTAAACCAGGACTAAACCAGGACTAAACCAGGACTAAACCAGGACTAAACCAGGGCTGAGGACGGGGTCAGTGCTTGTAAACATACGTCTTTACTCTGAGTGTCTTCTATGACTGTAAAAGTGCCGTTACCGGCGTCTGCATCAGAACTTCGCCCACTTCTGTGTTTTTCCCCAACGCAGGACAGGACGTAAGAGACGCACATGTTTGGAATGTTACGAATGTGACTGATAACGCAGATGTGTGGATGCAAATTATTTTATAAACTGAGGAGGGGAAATATTTGGATTTAAAAAAAACAGGCATGGCACATGGACATGGCACCACAGTCAAATGACATCTGTGTTTTACTCAGTAATGTTTTACTGACACTTAGGTGACTGCACATGCGCAAACAACCGCGCTCAGTGCAGGAAAGCTAAACCACGACAAACTTGTCAGCGAGTTACCACCAATTTTCCGGACTATGCATCCCTGGCCGATTCAATTCAGTGCAAGTCATAAGAGTAAACTCGGGTAATGACAAAAAATGTACATAGGTAATTTTGTTGTGTTGTGCTATATTGGCTCATGCTGTTTTTGCATGTACATAAACATACATTGTAGATATAAAGAATATTTTTTGAAATATATGATTTGCATTTTTGTAGTAGGTAGATCATTTTGACTTGATCCTTTTATAAGTAGCTCGCATGCTGAAAAAGTGTGAGCACCCCTGCTCTAGAGGATCCACCCGGAAGAAGATAATCCTCCCATATACCTGTAAAGTACTTGTTTGTTAAAGGTTTTGGCTGTATGCATGTAGTGTTCGTGAGTTACTAATTCATTACAAGACTAATTTCAGACGTGCTTCTGCAGCTAATACTGTATTGTACTGCTTAATGAGTCAACTTCCTGATTTAAACGGCATAAGTCCAATAATCATCATTAACGTTGTTGTGACATTTGTCTAGTGGCATTTACCGACTTCTGCGCTCTTATTAGAACTTAGCTTCCTCTCCAAGTGGTTTTTATTGCGGCCAGCCACCATTATTATTTTTTTCTGTGCGGTTTTCGCCCGTCTTCTTTCTAAATGGAGCGTGGCGTTCTTTGTCTGCCAAAGCTTTGTGCCTTGGATGCAGGTTAGGTTGCTTTGAGGCAGAGCCATACCGAAACCTTGGAAGATGAAGAAAGGATAATAACGGCACAAAAAAGTGAAAAGGAAAAAAGGTGCAGTGAAATTCTCCAAACGCAATCTGTTGAGTGACCATGGCAACAGGCATCGCTTTGAGTGAATGGACCAATCTAGGGTTTCAATGCAAAATGAAAGGAAAAACACAAGGTCCGAAGCCTTCAGTAAAATTTCACCTTTTAAAGTGTCATGCTGGAACACATCTTTAATCTTAACAAGGCCAAAATGGAAGAGTGGACGATTAGAAGACAACAAATTGTGTGGCAAATAAAAGCAAGGTTATTCGTGTTAAACATGAATGTGGATTGAAAGGCTTGGCAAAAAAATACATGTGACTCATGTAGCAGGCTAAAATAAATACACAAAAACACACACTCAACACTTAATGATATTCTGAAACCTTAGATCTATATGTGTAGATCTAAATGAGTCCTGGCATTGTGCATACATGTATTTAAATATTAGATGTATTTGGCAATGTCAGGAAGCCATGATCACGGCCTCACATGATGCAGTCATTTTTTAATTATTATTTTCATTTTTTGTTGTTTTTTTCTGTTTATGTTTCCGCCTCAGATTAATAGGTACATGTGTTCCGACTTGTTACAATATTGTACAGTGACTTATATGTTCACAAAACAAGTGTGGGCGGGTCCCGGCTCAAAAGTGGCCAAAATGACGTGCACTGACAGGCTGCAATACCACCCCGGGCCTGTGGGGGTGGACCCAGAATAAGAATTAGCCAATGCTAACATATAGCATCTTCTGACCTCTCAAAAACGTCTTTACAGGATGGTCCAAAAGTTGTCTCTTGGCCCAAAGCTCCGTTCCACATGTGTGTCAATGCTGAGGGAGTGTTCTGGACCAGTCTAGTTTAGTCGCTGTGGACTTTTGAAGTCATTCGTTTAAATGAATGGAACTCGTGCAGCTGACGCATGCACAGATGCGTTTTTTCACATTTCCCAGCCCCCGCGGCCATTTTGAATCACTCCATGAAAGCCCAATTTTTGGCCCATTAGTTAGAACGGCGGCGATAGGCGTGACTACGTCTGTTAATATATACAGTCCATGATAAAAACACATACATGCCTTCAACACATTCACCCTCGTATCTCTTACTCACACTTACCCCTTCACTTACAGACTCACCCATCCATCGTTCATGCCTACAATACAAGTGGCAAACTAGTGACAGCTTCCCTCCCTTTCCCATGTGTATAAGTTACAGTATTTCTGTTATACTACATATGTTGCATTTATTTATATTAAAAATAGGCATTTTACTTATTATATTATTGTATTAGGTCTGCTGCAGTTCAAAGGTTAATGACTATTTGAAGCCTGGTTCCACATCTAAAATGTAGTTTCAAGTGTTAGCGTGACAGAAATCTATTATGAATTCTCAATTCTGCCTTTTACAGTATGAAAACTAAACCTTTTCTTTTCAATCCCTCCATAACAGCCACTTAAAGAAGCCACTTCACTTTTTTCAATAATACCGCTGATTTAAAGAACCCAAAAAGTCATGCATGTGAAACAAACTGTGATTAAGGAACTAGTCAGATGGATTTTATACATTTATGTGTGTTATGGACGTTAAATCTGCTCTTTTTGGGCAGTTTGAATCATCCCATTTCTCCTTTACCTTTTCTTTGGTAACTCTGCTGTCCACTAATATGTCTTTTTTAATTATCATTATTATTTTACCTGCACTGAAAAGGGAAATAGGGTCTCAAAATGTCGCCTTAATTATAATCCCTGTCTCGTTGGTAAGAATAGGGCCTTTGTGTTTCGAGACATGACAGGCAAGATGAGAAGAAGAGCGTCCACTGCCTCCAAACTTGTAATTAAGGCAAAACAAATCTCAAGTGGCACCCTGTGTTATTATGTAGAAACTATTTGTGTTTTCTGCGATACGAGAGAGAA